AATAGGGAGCCATTGGGGAATTCTAATGTTATTGTACTGTGGCACATTTGGAAACTTGCTGGATCTGCTGGAGAAACTTTTGGGGAGGAATGTCCTTCTGTACACTGGGAATATGTGCTGATTTTATTGGTTGATGAATAAAGTTGTTTTGGTCAATGGCCAGGCAGAATATAGCTAGGCCAGAAATCCAAAGAGATAAAAAGGTGGGGTGAGGGAGATATCACGTAGCACCAGGGAAGAAAAATATGAGGTAACAAGCCAGGAGCCTCATGGTAAAATACTGAATAAGAGAAACAGGTTAATTTAATTGTGAGAGATAGTAATAAGTCTGAGCCATTGGCCAAACTGGAACTGAGTTACAGACTGGTTTAAGTTGCCATGTGGGTGCTGAGAATTGAACCTGGGTCCTCTGAAAGGGAAGCCTATGCTCTTAACCACTGGGCCATCTCTCCAGCCCCCTACAGTAAGAATTTACTGTTGGTTATTTTTATGCTACTTATATACACACCACTGCTCAAGACATGGTATGCTTTAATCCTATCTTCCCTCTAACAGAAGTTATTTTTAATCCAGTACTCAATTATTCTAATCTACTTCCCAACGCAGAAGAGAAAGAGAAACTGAAAGAGGACTAACTCCTGTTAAGTCCTTAAAATATTTTAGTGGGCAAGGCCCGAAACTAGAATAGCAATTTGGAGGTGACATGGTGGAGAGCCAGGAAGCACTGCAAGGAACATGTGTATACTGAGTGTACATCAAGTTCACAAGATAGTAAACAAGTGGTTCCATACAAGCAGTACCTCAGGTGTGGTCTGGATCAGCAGGGCGTCTCACTACCTGTCCCTCAAGCACACTGAGTCTGAGGCCCAACTCCAGGCTACTTTGATGATCCAGCCCATGCAAGATTTTCCTTTACATGCTACTTTATGAATTCATCCTAATTCTCCATATCCCAGTTTTCCTCATTTTATATTACGAGACTAAATTGTGATGTTTCTACAGAGTGCTTTATTTGTGCAACTAATCTTTGTGAGAGATTCACCTGCTAGAAGTCTAGGAGGGGTCACTATAGCTACTTACTCCAAAGGTAAGAGCTAATTTCTAGGCTATACAATTGCAGCATTGTTGGTCTAACAGATCAACCAAACTCTCCTACCTGGGGGAAGGTTCTATTACACTCAAGTATTTACAGGATTACTTGGGCCATCCTCACCCAACAACCCACTCACAGAATCCTTTGAAAAACAATTTTTCAGTAGTACCCCTCCCTTTAGTGACAGAAATTAAATCTAAGACTCTAAAAAGCTAGGTGAGTGCTCTATCACTGAGCTACTCAAGTTTTTAAAACAACACTTAGTTAGCAATTAACAAATTCCTGAACATCCTTCCTCATCTTCAGGCAGGAAGCTGGACTTGAACTCCTGGACAATTACAGATGTGACCTGAAAACTTTTGAATCAAGGCTTTATTCTCTCAAGACAGGATTTCTACACAAAATCAATTTAATTGGACTGGAGTCTCACTAAGTTCTACTGTGGTCTTCAGAGGGTTCAGCTTAGGTAGAGAGATGGCACAGAATACAACAAATACACACCTTTAATGCCAGCACCCAGAAGCAGAGGCAGAAGGAAGGATCTCTGTGAGTTCAAGGCCAGTCTGGTGTACAAAGTGAGTTCCAGGACAGCCAGGACTGTTACACAGAGAAACCCTGTCTCCAAACAAACAAACAAACAAACAACCAAAAAAAGGAGAGGGGGGACACTGGATATCTTGGGTGTATATACACTTGCTTTGCTATAATTTCCTCAGCTGCAAAAACAAAACTCCAAGCACAATGGTTCATGCCTATAACCCAGGAAGGACTAGGGAGACTGAGGCGGAAGTACTGCAGTGGGTTAGAGGCTAGCCAGGTGTACTCTATGTGATCACTCTCTTCCTATGGGGTGGGAAGATAGGGGAGGAAAGGTACTAGATGTTAACCGAAGCTCTTTGCATGGTTACTTTAAATTGCATTTAAACTTGGGTTTTTTTTTTTTTGCTTTTTTTTTTTTTTTTTTAAAAAAAAAAAGCCTGATGCAGAGACACAATCCAAGCAGATGTGAATGTAGGTAACAAACAACAGCAATGTAAGATAGTGTATTTTTCACCAGTGAAAATCAGGCATTTTCACATCATGTTATATATACTGTAGGTACCTCAAAGTAAACATGTATGCTCATCAATAGTTGTAGATACTAAAGCTAAGAAATTAGAACTGCTGCTGGAATTTGTAATTTAAGGAATGTAGACATGCATCACTGTATCAGAACTGGGTATAGCCTAGTTAGGAATACTTGATTCAATTCCCAGTACTACAAAACACCAGTCACATGACACCCCAGCACTCAAATTCAAATCATCCTACACAGCCAGCTGGTCCAGTCTGGGCTTCATATGACTCTGAAAAAGAACCTAGAAATTATGGCCCAATGTGGACTGATCTGATGTCTACATTTTGACTTTTAAAATAGCCCAGATGTATTCTTATTCCTATGCACACAATGAGTAACTGTCCACTTGCAATGATAAAATCATAAGGTAGATAATTAGTGCAGATCCCCCAGCCTCATCCCAGCATAAAATTGTACACTCCAGGAAAGCCAGTGAAGTATTCTGCTTAGACCACTAATGGGTCTAAAAGATACCACTGTTCACAGAGTTAACGGAAATTAGTGAGAAACCTTCATGGTTCAAAGTCAGTTCAAAAAGAAAACAGAGCTGTTGTGGGCACTCTGCTGATTTGTTAGTAAAATCTTGATAAAAAACTTGTTTACTTTTATTTGTTTATTTCTGTTTTACCTGCATGTGTGTCTCTGCACCAAGTGTATGCCTAACAACACCCGAGGAGGCCAGAAGAGGGAATCAAATTCCCTAGAACTAGAAGTTACAGACAACTGTGATTCACTGTGGATGCTGAGAATCAAACCTGGGTCCTCTGGAAGAACATCCAATGCTCTTAACCAGTAAGCCATAACTGCATCCGTCCCATTAACAAATCTTAAGTGGGCATTTGAACAACACCTAGTGAATTTAGTATAAAGCTACTCACAGTTAAAAGTTAGACAAAATGTCTACCTAATAGACTGGGTTATCTGATAATCAAATCACATTTAGAGAAAGGGTAGTTAAAAGAAAAATTATTGCTATAATAAGCACAACTGTAGATATGAAAATGGAAAAACATATACAAGTGATTACAAATGAGTTTTAAAACTGAGTAAAAGCACTGGAAGTGGTAAAGCATGCCTTTTAATCCCCCCACCACTTGGGAAACAAAGGCAGGTGGAATGAACACAAGTTTGAGGTGAAAAATGTGGTGGTGGTGCTCATTTTAATCTCTGACCAAACCAACACACAATTTAACCTGTATGCATTAAGTATGAAATTTAAACTACTACTTCACACCTACTTGCTATAAAGCATTCCTCTTGAACCTATGGACTATTATGAAGACAAGAGCAAGTGCTTTTAGGGCTCAAAATATAGAGGATGTGTTTAGCATGGCCAGAGCAGAACAGCCCATCCCTAGCACATGTCCCAAAAAGGATTTTCCAACAATGCCTGAGACACAGCAAACCAGACTTCCACACACCAGCTAGTGATGCCACCACTCCCAAGTTCAAAGAATTAACCCTCCAGCTTACTAATCTAAAACATTTCAACCAAAAGTCAGCGTAGCACATTTGTGGATATCACTAAAAACATATCTGCCACACAGGCTGACATGAAAAGTCAGAAAACTATATTCAGGATGACAAAGCTAGGTGTGGTGTCACCTGCCTATAATTCCAGCACTCATGTCATCCCAGAACTAGAAGGGTGGAGGCAGAAAAATCAAGTTCAGGGCCAGCCTTGGCTACCCAAGAAGTTCAAGGCCAGGCCAATAACTCTCAGACACCCTGAATAACATACCACTGTCTACCTCTTTTCAGCCAATATGAACATTTCCCTGAACACTAAAATCAGGCCTCGCATACTGGATTAACTATAACAAAATGATGCGGCACACCATTTCTTAAAGTAAAAATAAATTATATTTTCAAATTATATATTTATGTGGGTGTCTATGTGGGTCTGTGTATATGCCCACACAGGCCAGTAGATGGCATCGAAGTACTTGGAGCGAGGGTCACAAGAGGTTCTAGCCAATCAAACTTGCATCCTTAATAGTAGGTAGCATATGCTCTTAAGCACCATCTTTCCAGCCACCTTTAACTATTTGAAAAATCACAAACTGAACTCCTACATGGTTTCAAGGGGCCAAGAGACTAGGACAGCAGGGTAACTGGCCTTTTGGTTGAGTTTGTCCTATTTTGCTTCAACTTAGATCAAATCAAAGGAAATCTGAACGATCCATGTCCATAGTTCAGCAGCTACCTGAGAATTTGGAGCAGGAAGATCTCATGAGCTCAGAAGTTCTATGCCAGCCTGGACAACACAGAGAGACCCAGTCTCAAAACAAAGCTAAGCTCAGAGAAGAGGTCATACTGGGGAGCTCTGTGTTTGTCACACAGATAACATCTACTCCAAAATTCTACACATCTCAAAGGCATCAAAGAGCTGTCTGTTTGGCAGTTACAGCAGAAAGGAGCCCAGAGACTCCAAGTTGTTTTGAGAACAATAGAAGATTCAAAGGCCCCAGGAATGGAATGAGATCTGATTTTAATTTGTTTGGCAATATTTTGTCAATAGTACAAGCCAAAAATCAGAAAAATACACATACGAGAGGAGAAATTCTACTGCACTCAAAAAAGTAGCTATGTAACAGGATGACATTTGTAGGTCAACATAAAATAAACTCAAGAATCGTAATAAAGAATGAACAAACTTAAAGGCCGTGAATGCACTTGCAGATGGAGTCTACACTCTTATGTACTGGCCAATGCTGGGTTGTTTGTCACAGGAGAGTGGAGCCACCATGAATTCCCTATGCAAGAAATATTAAGACCAGCATTACTCACGTGATATCCCTTCGTTGATAGCAACCCTGAAGCAGGCAGGCAATCAGATCACTGATAAATTCCGAATCATCTCTGTGAAGAGCTGCCTCTAACTCCTGAGAGAGGAAGGAGAGAGAAATAGATCAGAGAACTGTTTAAATGCACTATTTCTCTCCAGCACCAGACTGCAAGCAACAGAATGGTTAGTGGAAATAAAGGACCATCATAAACTGTCATAACAATGCAATGCTGCCCTCCTTCCTATGTGTACTTTCAGAAGAACAATTTGGCATTCTCGTTTATTTCTTCCATTACATCTTACTAGCCCCCATTCCCTTTCACCTGCATCTTTTGCATCCTTCATATCAGAAGATATATACAAGCACATTTCTTTTTTAATGAACTGATGCTAATTACATCATTAAGGAATTTGATAGAAAATGTTGGGGGAGGGCAGATGACTGGAGGTTGATGGCAAGCTGTCTTTTTCAATTGCTTCTCCACCCTATTTTATGAGACACAATCTCATCAAAACTGGATATTGCTAGACTGAACCTGGATCTCTACCTCCCCAGCACTAGGTTACAGGCTCTCAACTCCAGATCTGACTTGTTTACATGGGGGCTGGAGATTAGAACTCAGGTCCTTATGCTTGCATAACAAAGCACTTTACAAAATGAACCCTCCTTGGCCTCTTGCTTCATATTTTAAGACAACGAAGAAACACCATACAACTGATTATAAATTAGTCTTCATCTACTTGACTTGCAGGTAGATTATTAATAATCCACCTACAACAGCTTTAAGGCACCACTATGTTTTGAACAAAGCCAGCACTGGGAGAATGCAGTGTGGCTCTACCTACAGGACTGATGAAAGGTCAGTAATTTAATCCTAGGTGAGATGCATTTGCTTGCCCTGAAAGTTCAGGTGGAAGCTGCAGAAGACATAATCTTCATACACAATTTAGACATTAAGAATTGGGCCAAGGGGCAAAAAGTGACAGTGGGAAACATCACTAATCTTATTTCTCTTCTCAACTTTCCAAAACAGGAATGCTTTCAGAAGTGACAGAATATGCTCTAAGTCATTGATTTTTATACAACCTATGTTTATTTGCATTAAAAAAAAGATTCCCAAGAGTCTGCTTCCAACTAGATCTATAATCCGGGGCGGGTATATATCAAACTTTTGGGCAAGACGTGATTTCTGATCTCGACACCAATTATATAGCTACACACATTCTCTCTTTCACAGTATGTTTCTATTGTAGAGACACAATCAACCTTTATGGAATCTTAACAAATTGTTCCATTTATTTAAAGTCCTAAATTTGAAGTCTTTATTCTCAAAATGTAATAGGTGACCTGAGATTCTAAAACAACAAAAACCCAAACAAACCACCACCACCAACAACAACAAAAAGGCTCAGTTTAACCCGGTCACAGAGGAAGATTCCAAAGAAAATGGTCAGTTATTCTAATAGTCGAATAGCTAAATCCTGGAAGCAAAAAAGCTAAAGGCCATTCACTTGATAGGAAATCAGAACCCAGGAGTGCTTAAGCCAGAAGGTCAAATACAGGCCATAAACCTCAATTATCTCACCAGACAGGTAGGCCTAATATAGTAAATCTGCAATTTCAATTCTTGAGCAGAATAGATCAGTCAAGGCCAATATAGGTTACAATAGCAATATTATTTCCAAAACAAAAACCCAAAAGCAATCTCAAAGAATGACTTTTCTAAAGAAGTCAGTAAATCAGTGACAGAGCCAGGGGTGGAAAGGGACCAGTTACCAGGCCCAGTATTCTTGGGCAAACAAAACTCCCTCTCCCTAATTAACAGTCTTTATTTTACAATGCTCAATCAATGGGGCTGGCGAGATGATGGATCAGAGGGTAAAGGCACTTGCTGCCCAAGTCTGGTGACCTGAATTCCATCTCTGAAGCCCATGTGAAGATGTCTTCTCCTCTACACCCACACATAGTAATAATTTTAATTTAAAAAAAAAAATGGAGCAGCTCCTGCTCAGCATCCTGCTATCATACCATGCTGACTGACATCAGAGAATCAAGCACCCACATCAATCAGAAGCAGGGACAGAAAGTCTTAAGAAAGACAAACCTCTGAAGGGTTATAAAAGCCCAGGCCCCAGGCAGCTCATCAGGTGCTGGTCTCCAATATGTGTGCACAAGAATCACATAGCAACAAAGGGACCCTTCTAGAGAATCTGAGTTCCACCAGCCTCTCCTGCCCCTCACCCTGGTGAATGTTGAGTGTCTGGCACCCTAGGCCATAACCAGCTAGCCTCTGTAGCTCTCAAGGGCCATTGTTCTGGAGAAGCATCTGCTATGGAGCCAGCATCCACTATTCTTTCTCCAGCTGTGAATGTAGACATGGCAGCTTGCTGTGTGCTGGATAGCTTATGCCACCCCTACCCAAAGTTCAAGTGACTTAACTTTGCCTCTAGATATAGAGGTATCACTTAGAACAAGACTGTTAGGTTATAAGACTCATTTGCTGTGAGCAATTTCCTTTTCTCTGGGGTGTAATGTGTGAACAATAAACTGTGCATTCAAAAAACAAAACTGAATAAAAAAAACTGACCGCTTGTTTCTCTGTAATTCGTAAATCATGTTCAAGACACTTGTCTTTTACAACTTTTACAAGTCTTCCTAGATGACTTTCACTTGGTGATCCTACTGCCAAAATGCCATAGCTACATTAACATATTGTAACATATTGGTCTTACTATGTCCCCTTGTCCACCACATTGACTCAAGCCTAGCTGAATCTTTTGTGCTGGGAATGGAGACCAAGGCCTTCATTACAGACAAGTGTTCACAATTGAAACACACACACATTGCCCTACTCACCCCCCCCCAATAGTAACAATTCTTCATTGATTCTTTGGAAATTTCACATCATTTACCCTAATCCTGCACTGAAATGTGCACCCAAGCAGCAAGTAGCAAGGTAATACTGAACTGCACTTACAAAATGGTTTCATAGGGAAATGATCATTTTAATAGTCCAACTTTAAAATTTGTTGCCATAATTTAAAGTACTTTTCTATTAGGAGTACATACTGAGTTGTTTCCTTTACAGGTGTCTATCTTGGGACTAGAGAAATGACTCAACATTTAAGAACACTAGCTGCTCTTCCAAAGGACCTAGGTTCAAATCCCAGAACCCACTTGGCAGTTCATAACTGTCTGTACCTCCTGTTCCAAGGGATCCAACGTCCTCACACAGACATACATGCAGGCAAAACACCAATGCACATTAACATACAAATAAATAATTTATATATATTAAAAAGGAGTCTATCTCCAAGGACTGTTGTGGTAATGTGGGAACAGCATGGTCCCTGACACATAGTATAAATACTATACATCATCTTCCTTACAATGACATTCTAAGCAAATACTAAAGAGATAAAACTATCTTCTTCAAAACTCACAAGTTTCTGAATAGAAATTGAAATTCTCTCTAACTCACGGTCCACTATGTCCTGCAAAGAAGTACTTGGAAATCCTGGTTATTCAAAGCTTTATTATTTGAGGTTTCAACCTAGAGCTTAAGTCTTAAGACTGAGGCAGCGAGGGAGCCTCCTAAAAAATCTCTACCCCAACTTTTTTTTTCTTTTCTCACTTTCTCTCCTACTCTTTTGTATCTCCCTTTCACTGTGTGCAATGAACTGTGAGCACCGAAATCTGACCTTTGCCAAGAAGCTCAGGGGCGAAAGAGGAAAGGAAGGGAAAGGGTAGAAAAGGCAGCAGATCGGCAGAGAGAGGGGAACCTTGTTCCCATCCATCCACTCTGCAGCTTCAGAGAGTAGGTGAAGAGAGTAACAGGATTTGCCCCTCTTGCAGCTGGCGTCACAGCTCATTAGTGAAAAGTCTGATCAATGCCCAATGCCTGCTTCTCTCTCTCCCTCTCTCTCCCTCTCTCTCCCTCCCCCCCCCCCTCTCTCTCTGCCTGAAGAGCAAATCTTTCCACCATGCAGTGGCTAAGCAAGGGACAGTCCACACTCCTGGGCAATGGAAGGGAACACAAACAGGTACTTAGCACACATTATAGGAAAGTATTCTTAACTATTTCTAATGGCCTGCTTCCTTAACAAACACAAATTTGTGATTATAGACACTCTAATGACAGGGTATTACTAAATTCCTTTGGCATAATCTGTCACATACTTAACCTTTTCTTAAACAACACTGGTATCTTCTCTTGTATGCTATGTTCTTGTTCCTTGTGCAAAGTTTATTTAGTCTTACTATAAGGGGTAGTTGAGAGAAAAAATTTCTTTCTATTTCCAAGTAAAGATAAAGATCATATATTTGCATAATTGCCAATCAATCACAGTAATGCTTTGAGTTCATTTGAGACAGAAAAGAAATAAAACCACTTAAAGAATAGACTGTTACATTTGCTTTTTAAGAGCTAAAATCCTTCTAATGTGCACAGGACCAAGGACAGTGTAAGATCGAGGTCAGCTTTGCTTCTGTGTGGGAACAGACCCACTTCTGCACAAAGGGGATGCACAGCAGGCCCCTTGAAGAGCTCTCCCAGCTGCTGTCCAAGAGAGAATGCCTGGAGTGTAAGCTCAGAACACTGGGAGAAAAAAAGCACACTGGTCTCCAGAAGGCACCTCTGACTTTGACAGCTGATGCTTTCTCACTTGGTATAAATTAATTTAATCCCAAAGGCATGTGCCATGCCAATTTAGACTGTAAAGTATAAATCAGACAGAATGCCTATAATGCTCAGAGACCTGAAACCAGCTATAAACACTTTGAGCTGGACAAGCAGCTTATCCTGTCTATTTCCAAAAGCTAAAAGTCTGTTTTGCTATAATTATTTTTTCTCAACTTCTCATAAAACAGAATGGATCTAAAATAGCTCCTTCACTCAAAGCTGAACACAACTCTAAAATACCAATTTCATTGGAAAACATTAATTATATCAACAAACAAGTAAATCTAGAGTGTGACTTTCTGTAAATGTATAAATAAGTTGCAGAGGGAGGAGGAAGAGAGCAGGGAGGAAAATGAGATTCCTGAGGCCAGAAAGCTTCCTACTTACCATGTTCTAGGAGACTAGTGCAGGGACA